TAGTTTTAATTTAAACAAAATATTCAAATAAAATCTAACTAAATATTTAAATATTTAAAATATTTTAACCCTCTATGGGCCCGTGTAACTTTCAGGTCACATTTCACGCTTAAGTTTCATAGACACGGTTTCAAACATTATAGGCCGCTGTGACTTGAAAGTCACATAGTGTAATTACTGCAATAAAATTGTTTGAACCGAAATTTTTTGTTCTCATTTGCATATATAGGTTTATAATTGCTGATTTTTGTTCCACTATTTTTTGGATTTAAAACAAAAATTCGGCCCATAGAGGGTTAATAGATTGTGAAATATTTTATATATGGATAATATTAGACAATGATGCAAAAGATTACTGTCGCTGAATAAACAGTTGATGTATTTCAACTAAATAACAAATGAATAATAAATTATTTACCTGTAACGTTGCTCCGCCGATGCCTGATGCCTCCTGGGCCTCCTCTTCCTCTCAGTTGTCCATCGATGGCTGCTCCTTTCTAGCACAATGCGCGATTTGCGAAATTACGATTGTGATATTTCACCTAACACTCCCGACGCGTATTTTGTCACCTCGTGACAAACAACTAACTTGAAAAATACGATCGCACGAATCTATGAATCGTTCGACACTCGTAATATTCAAAGCAAAGGGAAAAACTACAAGTCGCGCAGTTAATTGAATTAAAGCCACCGTGGCTGTTGTACCACATAGCGCACTACTGTCCTTTTTTCATATGAAAATTATTATAAATTTGCTTTTAGGAGATTTTAAAATATCCAACTATCATATATTTCGAATAACAAAACATTTATTATAAAAATAAATTAAAAAATTAATTGGAATTTAAAAGATTTATATTCACGCATTAAAATATCAGAATCTTTTATCGCGGCAGATGATTAATAGCGCAAATTGTACATTGGTATTAATAGAAAATAATCTCCTTACCTTTCTCGCAAACACGATTCAAAAATAAGTTATAATACGGAGCGATTTTCACCGCCGTCTGCTTTGGTCGTGCGAATAATAGTTAGGTAATAGCTAAATAAGCAGTGCTTGTCTCGCAGGTCACGGAAATATAAACAACCATCGCGCGAGCTATATCGAAATTCCTTACGCGTGACGTAAGACGAGCAGGTCCGTAGCAACAAGACTCCGTATTTTCGTTATGTTTCAAATCGTATCGTTATCGTTATCAAATCGTATTCGCCAGAAGAATACGATTATTTTTCATCGATATTTAATAATTAATAATTTATGCAACAAACCGACTATGATTAAGGATTCGAATATTTCATTGTGCGAATATATCTGTATGAATATGCCTTTTATATTTAAGTAAAATGTATAAACCAAAATATAATAATAAACAAATATTTTTCATATGTAGAAAGCACAGTAAATTTATTATGTGATACAACAGTCACGACAGCTCAATTAACTGAGCAACTTTCAATTTCTTTTTGCTATTACTTTGCACGTTACGAGTGTCGAACGATTCATAGATTCGTGGGATCATATTTTGCAAGTTATTTTTTATCATAAGGTAACAAAATGCACGTTGGGAGTGTTTTACAAAATATCACGCTATCACATAATAAATTTACCGTGCTTTTTACATATGAAAAATATTTGTCTATTATTATTATATTGCTTTATATACATTTTACTTAAAAATCTAAAAGTTACTCATTTGCGTCACTCGTCATACGTCACGCGTAAAGAATTTCAATAACGGCTCACGCTTTGATTGTTTATATCTCTGTGATCTACGGCGCGCGCGCTACGCACTCACTACCTTGCTATCACTCGCACGACGGCACTCGACCAAAGCAGACGGCGGCGAAAATCGCTCCGTATTATAACTTATTTTTGAATCGTGTTTGCGAGAAAGATAACGAGATTATTTTCTATTAATACCAATGTATAATTTGCGCCATTAATCATCTCCTGATAAAAGATTCTAATATTTTTATGCGTGAATATAAATCTTTTAAATTCCAATTTATGTATTTTATTTATTTTTATAATAAATGTTTTGTTATTTGAAATACATGATTGTTGGATATTTTAAAATCTCCAAAAGGCAAATCTATAATATTTTTCGTATGAAAAAAGCACAGTAGTTTGCTATGTGATACAACAGCCACGGTGGCTCAATTAACTGCGCGACTTACAGTTTCCCTTTGCTGTCGCTGTTTGCTTTGAACATTACGAGTGTCGAATGATTCATAGATTCGTGTGATCGTATCTTTTTAAGTTCATTTTTTGTCACGAGGTGACAAAATACGCGTCGGGAGTGTTATGTAAAATATCACAATTATAATTTCGCGAATCGTGTATTGTGCTAGAAAGGAGCAGCCATCGATGGACAACTGAGAGGAGGAGGAGGCCCAGGGGGCATCAGGCATCGACGGAGCAACGTTACAGGTATAATTTATTTATTATTCATTTACTATTCTGTTCAAATACTACTGTTTATTCAGCGATAGTCACATTTTGCATTATTGTGTAATACAATCTATATACGTATATTAAAATATTTCATACACTTGGATATTTAAGTAGATTTTGTTTCAAAAATTATGTAATTCTTTTATTAAATATTTTATTGAAAAATAAATAATAAGGTTAATAATTATTTTTTAAATATTAATTATTTTGAGTTCTGTAATAATATTCTTATATTATATTACAATATTTTACAATATATATATTTGTATTTTACAGATCACCATTTGTGCTACAACTCCGCCGTGTCGCATCGTGTATCGGTAAGTCAAAATCAAATTATTTATTTTAATATTGCGATCTGCGAATATAGCTGATACCGGATATAAGCTCTCGAGTTAACTAAATTATAAAAATAAGAAGAAAGAGTATAAACCAAACTACAATATCTGCCGAAAATGAATGTTAAACTATGTAGTTACTACTTTAAAACGAATTACGATAAGTATACCAAACAGAAATTGCTAATTGTCTTAAGAAAAACATTAAAATAACCCTTTTCATCTTTTCACTGAAAGTAGCACATTATTACGAGAGAATTTATTATCACATTTTGCTACTACATTTATTTTAATAATTTTCCATAATTATATCATTTACTTATTAATGATACAAAATTTTGTTAACATTTTTATCAAAAGGTATTCATTTAATATTGAATATTTGAATGACAAGCAAATATGATAAAATCTGATTTTATTATAATAGCATTATTTGGACGTATCATCTATAACTTGTTATATTGAGACATAAAAGCGATTTCCTGTTTTAGTGACGTTTTTCAAATAGATATTGACAATCATGAACATTGAACTTTGGAAATAACTACAGCAATTAGAACGTGAAACAATGGTCATCACTTTTAATGTATATAATCTTTAAAGGCATATCTGTCTTTACTACAATGATGATAGTTAATTATATCTCGTAGCATGTTATTACGAGAAAATTTATCACATTTTGCTATTACATTTATTTTTATATTTTTTCCATAATTATAATATATTATTTACTTATTAACGATACAAAATTTTGTTAACATTTTTCTCGAAAGGTATTCATTTAATATCGGATATTTGACAAGCAAATATAATAAAATCTGATTTTATTATAATAGCATTATTTGGACGTATCATTTATAACTTATTTAATTTAAAAATTGCACACATTCGCGTTATGAATTGCATATCTAATGTGCGCGGTATTTTGATATCTGAATATCGAATCGGCCAAATATCATCGACGTCTATGATGTTCAGACTTGCATCTTCCAGACTCACGTCTTTCACTCTCTTTACGAAGATTTCGTGAAGGGTATAGATAAACGTACGAAGGGTCGATGTACCCATAACCAGGTCATGCTACACGATGTTAGTGGATCAGGATCAGCTTTGACAAATATCGAAACATATCGTCTTTACTGAGTCAACTAAACTATAGATAGGTGTTTCGCTACCGACGTGTATATGGAGTGGTTCATAGTTACTGTTCAGCCCTTCAAATTCTTAAACATCTCTCGCTTTACAGACAAATAAATTACTAATTTTATTTTATTTTATTTAAGCTTAATCGATAAAAAGGAGATCTGTTTCATACTTTCTTAATTTTGAAAAAAAAATATATTTTAGTGAGAAACGAAATTTATGTATTTAATCAATTTATATCGAACATTCTTTATAGTTTTACAAATAACAAAATTCGATATTTTATATGTTTTATATGCAAAATTGCGCGTAAAAACTAATATGTGGAAAAATATTATTTTTATTTAATTTTACTGATCAGGTGCCTTGTATTAGATCACAACTCATCTATCTTGTATTGCGTGCAAAAGTTACGTGAATCAACGGTAACTCTGAATCGCCCGGTATACGCCCGCGCGTGTATCAATATGATCGTACGCGTATGCTATCGTACGTATGTTTATCAGCTCGCGTCGTGTGTACGCTCGCTCAAAGTCCGGGCAGGGCTCTGCGGCTGCCCGACCAGCCGTGTTTAACGAGACACGAGCACGGCTCACGTCAGATCGGCTACCGACACACGAACGAATGCATCACGGTCGAGTAACTAGCGTGCTTTTTAAATGAAAAATCTCGGCGCCCGCGTTTGACGCTCTTTCCGCGTGTCCGTCGCTCGTTTGTTCTCGCCCGTTTATAAACGCTATTGACAATCCGAGCGTTGCGATTCGATTCGTCGCGCACGAAATGTTTGATTTCTTTCAAGTCCCGTTAATTTTTTGCAATATTAAATTCCAATAATTATTTTTAAAGAGATAAACCGTGCCGTAAAACCACGTTATTTCTAAAATATATATACAAGCAAATGTTTTTCAAGCATTTACCTAATTGATCTAGTGAAATAAAGGAAAGGACACGAAAAGTAGGCATACGAAAAATCCATTCCATTAGCAATCACGACAATTAACAACATTCGCAAATGCGGGGGTGCACATTATTTATTCTCCTGGGAACGCGCAGATACCATGGACAGTTACACAAAACACGCTCGCCATCTAGAGAATGAGATTCAACGAGCGGGGAAAGAACGGAAAGGGAAGACGAGTCGTTAACTTAGCAGGGCTCCACGACAGGCAAGGTGCATAACGAAGGGTGAATGCAACGCGAGAGACACGCAATCTTCGTAATAGGGGGACCGCAAAAATAGAAACGAATGGGTGGGATGGAAAAGAAAGCCCGCGGGATAGCGGGGCTCGTCAAGCGCTCCTCTCGCCGCGAATGCCGGCGGCCACGCGGCCGTATAATTAAAAAGTGGAAACGTAGACGGAAATTGTTGACGCTGAAGACTCAGGACCCAGTCACCTCACGGTGCTCGCGAACGAGACGCTCTACGTGCCGTTGCGCGACGCTCTCGAAATCCGGTCCAGATGGGACCGAAGCGAGGGAGATATTTTTCTTCTTTTATTTGCGCGCCGCGGAAAGTGAGTTCCAGACGATTAAAAACGTCGTAAAACGTAAAAAACCACATCACTCCGGAGAACGTTTTTCCGCGAACCGAGCATGATCGCTTCTCTTTCTCTCTTTCTCTGGCTGGCTCGCAAGCGGAAGTACATTTGATTACGCGACGTTCACGAAGTACGATCCAGATGTGACCAGCGAAATGGAGACTCTGTTTAAATCTCGGGAAGCAAGTTTCACATTTTAAAGGTAAAATATAAAAAGGGATCGCGAGTCGGAATGCAAAATATTGTAATGCATTTTACTCGTATCCAAACCCCCACGCATTGAATCTCTAGAAACGTGACTTTTGAAGAAATATGGAACAAGATTTGGTGTCCGTACACGATCGAATCGACATCGAATTACGATAAATTCGAATATCTCAAATCGACGGCGAATCGATTGTGAAAGAACATAAATGCGCACAGCATAAGAAGCGAGCACACACAGCTTCCGATAACGTTCGTGGAAAGATCGCATAGAGTGGTCTGTCGCACTGCACTTAAATTCCCAACGATTATCTCGATCGGTGTTTTATAGACAGGCGATCTGCGCGAACGTTGAATACAGGCGCCCCTTTAACGAGCGACGACAACGACGACGCGTCTTTCCATCGATGCTTTTATCGAAAAGTTAATACTCGATGCAGCGATGACGATCCGCTCTTCGCTCTCACGAATAAGCGAGAAAAAGCTTCGGACTTGACGCGCGGCAGTTTTCCTCGTGATAATATAGGTCCGCGATAAGGTCTGCAAACGTAGAAGAAAAGTAGAGAGAGAAAGAAAACGTCACATAATAAATATAGTTGTGTAGCATCCACGCGAGACGGACAAAACGCTAACGATGACATTCGTTTATCATATGCCACGGTTTTAAACCTTCATGCGTCAAGCATGCCACGCAAACTCCTCGCTTTTTTCATAGTACAAAATAATGTAAAGTAGAGGAAGAAGAATAATTTTATTAGCGCAAACTATAATTTAATATTCCCGATGCTCCAGGAGAGGCTATTACATAAAGTCGGACGAGTTTTTTTTTTCTTTTCTTTTCTTTTTTTGTCTAAAAATTAGAACAATTAAGCACCGGCAGAAAAGAGAGTATGAAATTAATGAGTTTTGCGTAGAGAAGTACACGCGCGCGGGAGAAGGATGCAGCTGTACTATTTGCATAGATGAACGATAACAATTGTGTGCCGCTTATGCAGAAAAATGGCATAGCGGTAAAGCGTAATGTCGGATGTAATTGAATTAAATTTCACGGAATTGCGAAGCGCTAATTTTCAAAAGACAGACAGGCGAGGCAGAGCGCGAGCTTTCAATACTTCCAACGATACCGGCGACAGGAAGATTTTCCATTTTGACGTCGAAGTTACATTTTCGTTGAAGTTACGGTAAATTAGGTTTTTGCCAGCACTTAATTTTACAACTGATGCGAATGCAGCTGCAACTTTCTCTTTCTCTCGTTAATTGCAGAAAGTAATATTGAATGAACAAATTCTTTGTAGACGTAAAATTTGCAATATTCTCTTTCAAGAAGTTACATGATTTCGAGAAGCGAGATTTATGTTGATATGGCGACTATATGTGAGAATAAATTGCACAAAAGTATTTTTTAATTAATATTGATTAGTAGATTTTGTATTTTTCTAAATTGTAGCTCCAGTGATTGGAGGTAAATTGTTTACATCAAATTAATGTTGAGAGATATAATTAAATCTGCTGATGTGGATTAAAAAAGTGCAATATTTTTATTATTCTTTTTATTTTCTCAATTTTTTTTCAACTTTTTAGTCGCGTTGTCACGTTTTGTCGTTCTGTATGTAATCTTGTTTCGCTATTACAAAAAGTTACACATTTACAAGTTAAATGCGATTAGCGCAAAGCACGGCTGGTGTAACTGGCCATAAACTGGACGCAACAAAGTAGAAAATGATGCCATAAGCGCGGTCTGACTACTCTTTCGCACTTTCTACTACAGCGGCCGTAACGCGAAGTCGTTTATCACCGACGATAGTAAAAAGACCGGACGCTGTTCGATTCATTTAGTTATGTTAACGAAGTATTAACGCGCGCACGATAACGCTGTCTTCGTGCAAACGCGATGAGTTAAGCTCTGATGGAAAAAAGAACTAAAAGAGAGTCTCGCGCGGCATTTGCAGCGGTGGACCGGAAGCCGTGTAATTTTTCTTCCAAGTGGCACGTCCAAGAGGCAAACGTACCGTCGTCGCGTTAATTTATTCCGCAAGCATCGTGACGGCGATCCCTATTAACTCGTTCTTCGCGATCCGCCAGCAGTTTAAATAACTA